TACCACCATGGCACCATATGTGACATCACCCCTCCACGACTGTGGCGTCGACCAGCCAACCAGTGGGTCTGCTTCATCATTGTATATAGGGACTGACTTGAACTTCGGAAAGAGTCTTTGAATTTCTGAAACAGTGTCGATTTCTTGCTCCAAAATGTGCAATGAACTTCCGCCTCCCTGTAATTAAAAAAAATAACTAGCAGTTAAAAATTGTAAGCTATTAAACCATGCAATGTAGCTTTATTACCACAAGAGGGCATTAAACCGTAAGAATAGCAGTTGGGTTTCCAATGAATGCCATTTCATATGTTTATCACTTACATTGAACAAGGAGGTTGGAAACTGTATAACATATGTGTCTTTGCTGATCAAAAGGTGTCTGGAATAAGGCAAATGATATGAACTCATTTCTGAGGCAGAATATGCATAGTGCCAAAGGTCAGGCTGAGTAGCTTGACCATTCCCAAAACAACTGATCAGTGGAGGCTTGAGTGGGTTGACCATTTAGGTTTCATCCGAGTGAAAATAATCAAAACAGACACTGTTGAATTGTTAAAGCATTGACGACAATAGATGTAATATTTTAGATTTACTTATATTGACCTGATAAAGCAAAGTTATGCCAGCTTTGGAAGACCAAGTGATATCTTGCAAAACATTTAATGTTTAATCAGAAACTTTTTATGGGTGCCATAAAGTGGATAAATAGGGAAAGGGCAGAACGCCAGTAATTGTGTTTTGTTTTTGCCTAGCCTGCTTAAGAAATTTGCTTTATACTCCACCCTAGAGACACAACAGAAAGCGAGAGGACAATTGTCCAAAGTGAAGGGAAATCCCCTTTTATACCGTCACTGCAACAATGATCCCATTGGAAGATTTTCCCTATTTATCGGTTCTAGTGACACAACTGTAAATCTTTGTTTTTCCCATCACTTTCTGTTCCAGTGAGAATGGTCACCAAGGCTTAATCTCCCTAGCAGTGACACAGAGCAACTAAAACCTTTTCTGTACTTTTGTGCTGTACAAAACTAAACAAAAATTGGCTATATACACAATTTAACAGAATTGCTTAAGCTAGCTACACATTATGTGAATTTCGGCCGGCATCCCTCAATCAGCTGATTAAAGAAGCTGGTCAGAAAATCTTGGAACGAGCTGAGCCGACAGCTGCCGGCACTGTTCAGGAATTCTGCCATACAAAAGAGACAGCGGGGATTTCCTTGATCAAAGCGCTCGCAGTGTTAATAGAGGAATCTGTTCTAAAAAATAGAACAGTGTATGGCCAGATATCGCCAGATCAGATATAAGAAAAATGGGGTAAATAAGATCAATGTGTTTTTTGAAGCAACAACACCCCAGCACTGGTTGCTATAATGCTGTTAGCTGCATAACTTCTCTGACTGCTATGGTCATGTCTACGGTATGGACACTTCGCCCTCCAACATGCCTCCATGTGTCATGCAGACGTGCAAGCCATCTCGAAAGGATGCCTAAATCCCAGGGTATAGGTCAATTCAATTTCAAAGTCAAAGCTTCTAGTTCCCAATAAAACTTGTTACATTGAAAGACAAATCAATGACACTGTTATGTCATGTGCACATATGGCCATGTCAGCTGTAGTATTACAAACAACCATGAAGATATTACACCATTTCATACAAACCTTTTTATGTAGGGCAATATAGTCAAGTCTAACACCTGTTTCTTGAGTGAAAAAATTAGTCCCATTAAAGCAGTGGCTCAGAAGACCCCAACAGATAGGTGCCCTTGGTCTGCATGAATCCCCAGGTCCCCCAAATTTTAGAAGTGGACTTGCTTGTTTAAGACCCTCTGAGCAGGCATCATAGTAATTCTGAAAACCTGCAGGAATAAAAGCATGTTTAATATGTTTGGTTTACAGGATATAAAAGTAATGTGGTTATTTAAATTGATTTATTTACTGTCAAAGCAGTAACACAGTGCACAGGGACGGGTTGCTTTTAACAGTGTATGGATTTTCAGTGTTAAAAATGTGAAGAGGTTCTTTGCAACAGTTGACTCTTAATACATCTACTTAAGGGTACAATTACCTCTTCACACTGACCTATTTATCAGCACCAAGGATCGATGGTTGTAAGGTGTATGGGCAGCTTAAAACACAATAATACACTTCTCAACATTACACCCCCCCGCACAAATATAATAAAATTCCCCCCGTACACATAAAATAATATACCCCCCTGTTATAAGCCCTCCTCACATACATTCTTTCCTTCGGCCGGAGCTCAGAACTGTCAGAGCTCCGGCCGAAGGAAGCCAGAGCAGACAGGAGCTGCTCTGCGGTCTGCATCCGACACAGATGCAGACCGTGGAGCTGCTCCTGCAAGTCAGGTACGCGGTCTGCGACCGTGTGCCTGACATGTCAGCTGGCTGCGGGCCACCAGGTACCAGCTCGCTGGCTGGAGTTGGTCCGCGGACCGGTACTTGGAGACCCAAATTTCCACTCGCCCTCACTTTATTTTTACTCGCCAAATGTGAGCAGGCAAGTGGAAATTTTGAGCCCTGCTCGTAATTAGAGCCGATGTGTGACACTGAAGCTGTCAAACGTCGGCTCTATTGATCGAGAACTATGCGATCACATACCCCTGATCACTCAGTTCCCGATCTTCTACATGCAGAGAGTAGTGACCGTCAGTCACCGCTCCCCGTAGGGATTCCTTTCTCGCCTCTCCGATCCTCCAGCGCTGACTGAAGGAACGGACAGGGGAGGGGGTGGGCACAGCTGGCTCTGCCTCTAGAGAGCCAGAGTCAGCTGTCAATCACGAGACAGGGTGAATCCCAACAATAGCCTGCTATATGCTGAGTTTTGGGTCACAGTAGGACATTAGTATATGTCCTCCTGTGACTCTAAAGAGAACTATGGCCAAAAAATGTTGTGCCATAGTTCTCTTTTAATTCACTGCCCCTGCTTTAGACAGATCACCTCTTATTTTCTGCTGTGTCTCTGGGACAGGAAGTAGGGAAAATCCCCCCCCCCATAGGACATAGGAAAAAATGACAGGGGTTTTAACCCTTCCCAACTCAACCCAAAGCTAAATAAAAATTTGGGTTTTACATATACTTTAAGCAATAAGAACGAAAAAATCAAATGACATACCTGTCACTGTGACAGACACATTGTCAAAATCATGATGGTCTGGTTCGTTCCAAGTTTCAAAGTTCCATGATGAGACATGAGATAAACCGTATTTTTCTGTTAAAGAAGAATATAATAGTGTCACAACAGTGCAATTTCACAGGCTGGCAAATGCACCTCAAAAATGCTCAACAATGTTTATACAGTATATGGTCTGTTTGCTGCTTCTATGTTATAATTTTATGAAGCATTTAAAAGGTCCAAAATTAATACAAAGGTTTTAAGTAAACGGTAATGGGCCGCATCACCTAATGTCAGGCAAACGCTTGAGGAATACATATATGGGAGCCATTGTAGATGGCAAAGGATTTGTATTTCTGTCAATCCAGTCCTAACACTTGCACAGCCTAGTCTAACAGGGCAAGAGACCTGCGTTGTCTTTGCTGCAGTCCCGAAACATATATATCTTTTCCTTTCCTTGAAAGGAGAAGCAGGTGACTGGTGAACTCATCTGTTACTCTGCTCTTTCTTCCTACCTGCAAGTTCCTTGCTTGCTTATGAGCACTCCAGTACAACTGACTTTCTTCTGCTGCTTCTCCCTCTCACAGTCTGAGCTCTGCTGCACATTGGACTGCAAGAGGCTGCAAAATTTGGGTACCTACACTGCTAAAGGCAAATGTGACCCCCTCATAACAATTATTATAAAAGGCGCTTCCACTATAAGTCCTCTCCATTTTACTATTAACCCCAACTACTTTTTGGGCACACTGAGGTGAGAAAAAGGCCCTTGTCCCTCAACTTTGGGTGCTTGCTATCCTCCACACAAGTACACCCCAGTTTTGAAATGCATATGGCCTGGTATGGTACTGGAAGGATGCCTGCACGCTTGCTGCCCTCTCTTTCCTGGCCACACAAGTTGCATGCCTGGATAAGGGTCTGGTTGGAATATATTATGGGGAACCCCAAGACATTTCATTTTTTTTTAAATTACTACATATCCCAACACATTCTCATTTTGGTGACAATATAGATTGCAAATCATAACCAGCCTTGCACTAGTTTATAATTTAGCAATGTAACTAGACCCTCGCTGACTATATGCGCATAATCACCACTACGCAAATATTATGGCTTTTAGTGCATTTTTGCGCCAAACTCATTGCACTCGAACATTGCAGATGTTCTTTTCAGAGCCAAATCTGTGATGTCCGGGACGTATTTAACATTTTTAGTGTTTACACATATGGCTTCAGTATTTGGCTGAACATATGATCTGGGCTTATTTCCTTTTATTAACACATTTAGCTACCATAAACATACTGTATACTAAACAGAGACAATACCACTCCAAAATTAAAAAAACATATTGTCAGTATATACACATCCATTATTACTGCCAGCATGTAGTATCGTGTTTTGTCGAGTGCCATCAATCGGGACACAGAGAAAGCAACTGTCTTCAGAACAATAAGTGCGATTATTTAAGTCTCAAGTAAAATTACCAAGAGGATGACTTGTTTTGACCAAAAGAATAAAGACAGTATACACAGTAAGCAGGTGTCACTGACATTTAGCTTTGGGCAAACAATGGCATTGAAAACATATATGCTGATGCTCGAGCTGATGATTCTTTACACACTGTTGTTAAAGGAGAACTATGAGGTGAGTGATTTTCACTCATCCTCATAGTTCTAGCCGACCTGTGACAATGAAACTGTCACAAGTCGGCTCAGTAGATCGGGAAGTGTGCGAACACATACCAGTGCTCGCTCACTTCTCGATCCTGTCACTGCAGAGAGCAGTGACAGGGGAGGGACTGGATTCCCTCCTCCCCTGTCCGATCCTCCAGCACTGACTGGCGGAACGGACGGGGGAGGGGGCGGGTACAGCTGGCTCTGCCTCTAGATAGGCAGATCCAGTTGTCACTCACGCAGCTGAGTGGATCCAGACATAATTGTCGGGATCCGTTTCAGCTGCGGCGTCTCTGTATACCGCGAGCTGTAGCTCGCACTATACTGAGCTTTGGGTGACGGGAGGATGCTAGTTTGTGTCCTCCCGTTACTCTTAGGAGAACTATGGGGAAAAGCCCTAACCCCATAGTTCTCCTTTAACAAATTAATAACGTTGAAATAAAACATTCTCAGGTGCAGCAACTTCTGGTTGCTGCTCAAATTGAATTAGACGGATTTTATTTTAAATACATCTTGGCAAATGTTGGTCCTGTGCAGGGACAAGGAGCAACTAACCCGGGTTCAGACAAAGTCCTACCACCCATTGGTACTAGATATGCACGATGATGTAATGAATCTCCACCCAGTCCTTACCAGCTACTGTTCGCCAGTACGGAGACTGAAAGGTAACCAAATTTTTATATGATGGAGTATACAGGTCAACAGGTTGTATTCTTTTAGATGAACTTCAGAAGACAGAATATGATTCTGTAAAGTTCCAGGGACCACGTAGGACATGTAAATGTTTAAGTCTGGTTACCATCTCCATCAGCTGTTCCTACTTCAATGTTCTCGTGCCCATTAATAATATGGGTATGTTTGGACATGCGTAAAAGCATATTATTGTCTTAATACAGGTCTGACATCTTTGCAGATAGGTTTATCATGCACCTCATCTACAGTATATCTTTATTTTTGTTGTTTATACATTCTTATTAATTTGTATTAAATATTAAAGTGTTTGTCAAGCCAAGTTTAGTTTAAGATATGATAAGGAAGGATTAGAACTCCTGGGGGGTTCTATTAGAGAGATTTACCTTCACTTCTGTTCTACTGACAGCAGTTTTACCAGATAGGAAGTGAGGGAAAATCTGCAACAGAGACACAGACAGAAATAAAAATCTGACCGGGGTTCTAGCCTACTTTACTAAAGAAAGGCATATTTAGTTATGTGCTGCTGTTGGAGATTTCCCTTAAGTTCCAGTCTGGAATGCTGTCAGCAGAACAGGAAGTGAGGAAACATTTCTCTAACAGAGCCCCAGATAGCAGCAAAAGAGAAAATGTTTGGCTTGACATACACTTTAAATCATAAAATGCCATGTTTATGACATGTCTGTCATATCCTGATAAGCTAAATATGTCTGACTAAACAACAATAAACTTACCTATGTACCTCTTTGCAATTGAGTAGATTAGATATCGCCATTCTTTCACTTGGACTTTATCTTCAAAATCGGTAAAATATCCAGATGGATTTCCCATTAACTCAAAGCCTTTAAAAAGGTAAGCAAGTTAATCACTCAAAATCTGTTGATATTTGAAATTTGATTTGGGGAAACTGGATCTAACAATACAGACTAATGATTTTAGGGCAGTTTGTTTCATTATTATGAAGAACTGTAACTTAGTCCATGATTATTCAGCAATGGAGAATGACGACCAGGACTACAGATCCCTTCAATCCATGAGTATACCTCAATGGAGAATGGAAACCAGCAATCATTGATTGCTGAGATTTGTAGTCCTCTATAGCCGGTTGCCATTCTCTATTGCTGTATAATCATTGATCACTTTATCACAAAGACCATGTCTTGGGAAAAATGTAAAGCTGAGAAATAATCATTGATTATACAGCAATGGAGAATGGCAAGGTTTTGGTCTTAACAGGACTGTATGCACATCTCACCAGGGCTGCATTTGGGTCTCACCAGGGCTGCACGCAGATCTCGCCAGGCATTTGAGTCTCATCAGGGCTGCGTTGGGGTCTCACCAGGGCTGCGTGCAGGTCCCAGCAGGGCTGCGTTTGGGTCTCACCAGGGCTGTGTGCAGATCCCACCAGGGCTGCTTTTGTGTCCCATCAGGGCTGCGTGTGGGTGCCGGGCTCTCCAGGGCTCTGCGGGTGGGTTCTGGGCTCTCCAGGGATCTGCGGGTGGGAGCCGGGCTCTCCAGGGCTGAATGGGTGGGTGCCGTGCTCGTGCCAGGCTCCAGGGCTGTATGTTTGGGTATGGGGGGTGTTCTCTGCAGTGCCGGTCTTGGGAAGGAGCAGGAGGTGATGTGCGGCCGGACTGGCACTGTCAGAGACAGCTGCCTGAGGTCCCCAGCAGGCTGTCTGAGGCCCCCAGCAAGCGCGGGACCTCAGGCAGCCGCTCGGTTTTAAAGTTTAAAGGGCCGGTATCTACCTTTAGGATCAGAGCATTTTCACGAGTACAAGTACTCTTGAAAATGCCCAGTATTGCTATAGGGACATGCCTATGCAAAATTATCTTTTTTTTTTAAACATGGAACATTGCAAGATAAAGAAAAAAAACTACACTAATCTACATTCACACATAAACATCAGCCAAAGAAAGTATGTCCTAATCATTACAAAGCAAAAAAAGTTACAGTAAAAGTAAAAACATACTTCCAAGATACTAAGTCATTATGAACAAGCCTATAGGGAACAAAGTGTAGCATTCCTTATCATCATTTATTGTTATGTGTGCTTTAAATTGATAAAAGGTGAAATCTGTTTTTTGTCTGCATCACTGAACTTTGGATATCATTATAATGCCTTAATAAATAAAGTGTTTGTCCACTTGGCCATACATTGTAATTGAATTAAGTGGGAATATTTATTCTAACCTGGCACCAAGTCATTCTCCATCAGAAGATCCATGAGCTCATCCAGCTTTGTGAAGTTATATTGAGGAATTTCATTGACAACACTAAAGAATAAGACAAAAACAAAATTAAATACAATGACATTTGCAATCAGTAAGGCCTGGTTCACACCTGGGCGCTTTACAGCGTGTACCTACGCTCTGTAAAACGCTCAACATGTGAAAACCAATGATTGCCTATGGGCATGGTTCCCACCTGGGCATTTTACAGCGCGTAGGAACGCGCTGCAAATGCCCTACGCCCAAAGAAGTACTGGAGCTTCTTTGGGGCGTATTTGCCGCGCGTATCCATTGGGATGCAGCCAGGTAGCCCTCAGAAACGCGCTTTGTGCCACGGTAAAAACGCACGGCACAAAACGCGCATATTCGATACGCCTAGGTGTGAACCCAGCCTAAAAATAGATATCTATATAGTGCATGTAAAGAATAAGCACCTTATCCTACTGGTGACCCTTGGGCCAACTGTTTTTTGTGGCCCTGAAACATTGGTGCCTGTTCCTGGTCACATTGCATTACCCTCACCTGTGCTCCCCATCTGGCCTACAAATCCCATATCTCCATCCCCTCTCCCTTCAGTGTAGAGCAGCCCAGACACTGTCATGGTAGCATTCAGAGCACAGGTCAGAAGCATTAGGCTCTCGTTTGTTGCTCTGCTCCTACATTCTACAGCCTGTACATCACTACCACACATTAAGCAGGGATTGCTGACAGTTGCAGGCCAGAGGATGGGAGCCGTGGTAGCCGCCATGAGAATCAAGCCTAAGAGTAAAGATCTCGATGCCAACCACACACTAACAGACATTGTTTCTAACTACCCCAGCTGACATTCATCCTTCCTCAGAAATTCACATGCCCCTGCTCAAGGACATGCCTACCCATGTCTCCCTCTGTCAGATTTTCCATCCAAAGTTTTAATTCTATCTTAGCTTGTACTGGTTACCATTGTTGCAAAGATGGAAAGTAATTGAAAATGCAGAGTTTTTGACCCTGTCTAAAAGAGGAATTCCCTATACTTTATAGAGATTTCCTTTCACTTTCTTTTGCATCTTTGGGTCAGGAAGTGAAGGAAAATCTCCCAAGCAGAACACAAAACAGCAAAAAAATAAAAAACACATGGGTTTAGCCCTACCCCACATTATCTAAAACCTTAAAAAGTTCTGGCTATGCATGAATTTTAAATTGTGTTTTTTCAGTCTACCCAGAGTGGCGGTAGGCAACTTTGGAACTCCAGCTGTGGTAAAACTCACATCCTCATCATGCCTGTGCCTTTAGGAGTCACGCCTGTAGCTGTCAAGAGTCTTGCAGTGCATCATGGGATTTTGTAGGTTTACCATAGCTGGAATGTAGAGGTTGCCTACCTCTGGCCTAGAGCTTTAGGAGTTGAAGTTCAACAACTATAGCTCCACAGGTTATATATTCACTCCTAACGTATCTATTTTTCCACAATAGCACCTCTCCATCAATGTATAACCTGATGAACAAGCACAAAACTCTGGTGAAACTGTGCTATGTGGAAAAGGGTTAGGATGCGAAAGATGAGGGGCCTCTGTAATAATGGTTGGCTACTTATTCTATACACATAAAATACATTTTGATACCTCTTTGAAATTTTAGTAAAAATACAAGTCTGATTTATGGAATATACGCAGGGATGTATTACTTTACATAGATTTGCAACAATAGATCAAAGCTAAAGGCTACAATACTATAATTATTGTAGCTTTTAATATAATACATTATTTTACCATCCTTAACAGAACACAAAAATCAATGGATTTTAGTTGCTTCCTATTTTCCTGTTCGTTTTCAGTTTTTGGTCCTTTAAGATGGTATTCTGCCTCAAATGGATCTTTGCTAGGGACTTACTTTAAAGGATCTCAGAAGAGCCTTGGCTTCCGCACAACAATGGTTTATATTGGTGGACTGGAATGGTAATCAATGGATTCCATATACAGGATTTATATAGCGCCTATATAACAGTTATACAGAGTGTGTGTGTATGTATGTATGTATGTATGTATGTATGTATGTATGTATGTATGTATATAGGGCTGGTAATGATAAAACATTTCCTGTTCGATCAACATTTTTTAAAATCGATTAATCGACTAATTTCGATTAATTATAACGCACATACAGATCCAACTGCTTTTAGCTGATCTGCTTGCATTGCAACTCTGCATTAGTCAGTAGTAAATGTGGTATAGACTGGATTAGACTGGTTAGACTCCTCAGAGCCCTGGTGAGATCCCACACGGGCTCTGTAGGGTCTCACCAGCACCAGGGCTCCGTAGGGTCTCACCAGGGCTCTATGGGGTCCCACCATGGCTATGTGCGATTTCACCAGCCTGGTGAGACCCCTCAAGGCCCTGGTGAGACGCCAAAGAGGCCTGGTTAAACCAGGGCTCTGTGGGGTCTCACCAGAGCTTTGAGGGGGCCTCACCAGGGTAGCAGGGCTCTGTGGGTCCTAACCACTGCTTTGTGTAATGGAAATGAAGAGTGGAAGTCATGTTTGAAGTATAGTTTAGGTGGCAACCATGGCTCCCCCATAGATACAGTCAATGTGTGAGTAGAGGAAGTATGTTATTCATAGGAATACCAGGAATGGAAAACAAAAGATAATGTCGGCAGCTCATCTAAAGGTTGGTATTGGTACTGCATTGGTACTGATATTGGTACTGCATTGTGCATTTTTGTTGTATATGTAATTACATCATATCCCTGTGTACGATCACAAACACCTGCACAACAGAATCCCAGACCTTTGGCTCTTCTCACGTTTACTTCAGAATGGTCATCATCCCCTATAAGGGACCTCACACAATTTCAGTAGTTGCATATATATATATAGTTTGTTTCCCACTTACAAAGAAATGGTCTATAATTTTTATCATAGGTGTATTTGAAATGATAGAGACAGAATACCAACCAAAAATCCAGAAAAAACACATGATACAAATGTTATAAATTGAGTTGCAGTTCAGTGTGTGAAATAAGTATTTGAACCCACAAGCAAACCATGACTTAGTACTTGGTGGGGAAACCCTTGTTGGCAAGCACACAGGTAAGAATCTTCTTGTAGTTGGTTACCAGGTTTGCACACATCTGGGGAGGGATTTTGGTCCACTTTTCTTTACAGGTCTTCTCTAAATCCTTAAGGTTTCTTGGCTGTCGCTTGGCAACTCGAAGTTTCAGCTACCTCCATAAATTTTCTATAGGATTAAGAAGACAAACAAGGGTGGCTGGCCAAATGATTCCCCTGGTGTGATCTCTCCCCCTACAATATAGTTAATTACAACACAAAGCAGAAAAATACCGGGGTTTGTGAGAGATATGACACCTTGGCTTGAAGTTTGGTAGAAAGATTTTTATTTTAAATAACATCTAGATTATAAAACAAATACATACAGGAATAAAACGGGAAAAATTCAATTGCAAATATTCTAAAAGGCAGTATTTAGATCAAGTGCATCCATCTATTATACATGTTGAACATAGTCATTTTGAGTCAAATACATTATGTGAGTCAAATCCCTATAGGATTAAGGTCTGGAGACTGGCTAGGCCACTCCATGACCTTAAGGTGCTTCTTCTTGAGCCACTGCTTTGTTGCCTTGGCGGTATATTTTGGGTCATTGTGATGCTGAAAGAACCATCCATGACCCATCTTCAGTGTTCTGGCTGAGGGAAGGGGGATCACATCCAAGACTTTACAATACATGGCCCTGTCCATTGGCCCCTCAATGCGGCAAAGTCGGCCTGTAACTTTAGCAGAGAAACAGCCCCAAAGCATAATGTTTCCACCTCCGTGATTGACTGTAGGGATGGTGTTCTTAGGGTCATAGTCAGCATTTTACTTCCTCCAAACACAGCGAGCTGAGTTAATGCCAAAGAGCTCACTTTTGGTCTCATCTGACCCCAGATCTTTCTCCCAATCCTTCTCTGAATCATTTGGCAAACTTCAGACGGGCCTGTACATGTTCCTTCTTGAGGAGGGCGACCTTGCTGGTGCGGCAGGATCTCAATCTATGGCGGTGTATTGTGTTACCAATGGTTTGTTTGGTGACTGTGGTCCCAACTGCCTTGAGATCATTCACAAGCTCCTCCCGTGTAGTTCTGGGCTGATCCCTCACATTTCTCATGATCATCATTGATAGGACTAATCTGTGTACCACATAGCCAGTCTGTGGGAGCCAGAATTATTGTTGGGTAGGGGATCAAATAGTTATTTTACTCACTGAACTGCAACTCCTTTTATAACATTTGTATCCTGTGTTTTTCTGGATTGTCGGTTGGTATTCTTTCTCTATCATTTAAAATACACCTAGGATAAAAAAATATAGACCTTTCGTTACTTTGTAAGTGGGAAAGCTTACAAAATCTGCAGGGGATCAAATAACTATCATTCTCTCTCTCTCTATACACACATTATATATATATATATATACACACACAGTTGTGCTCATAAGTTTACATACCATGGCAGAATTTATGATTTCCTGGCCACTTTTCAGAGAATATGAATGATAACACGAAAACCTTTCTTTCTGTCACTCATGGGTAGTGTGGCTGAAGCCATTTATTATCAATCAACTGTGTTTACTCTTTTTCAATCATAATGACAACAGAAACTACCCAAATGACCCTGATCAAAAGTTTACATACCCCATTTCTTAATACGGTGTTGCCCCCTTTAACATCAATGACAGCTTGAAGTCTTTTGTGGTATGTGTGGATGAGGCTCTTTATCTTCTCAGATGATACAGCTGCCCATTCTTCCTGGCAAAAAGTCTCCAGGTACTGTAAATTCTTGGGCTGTCTTGCATGAACTGCACGTTTGAGATCTCCCCAGAGTGGCTCAAATGATATTGAGGTCAGGAGACTGAGATGACCACTCCAGAACCTTCACTTTATTCTGCTGTAGCCAATGACAGGTCGACTTGGCCTTGTGTTTAGGATCATTGTCATGTTGGAATGTCCAAGTACGTCCCATGCGCAGCTTCCGGGACGATGCATGCAAATTGTTCTCCAGTATCTTTTGATAA